TCAGGGTTCCTTTTCCCTTCCATAAAATGGAAATATCAGTACCAAAACTAAAGAAGGAACTTTAAAAAACCACAGGCAAATATCCCTCATAAATGTAGATGCAAAAGTTCTGAATAAAATTTTAGCAGTGTATTCAAATGGACAAACATGATCAAGTCAGATTTATCCAAGGAATTCAAGATTGGTTTCATATTTGAAAATCCATCAGTGTTACTCATCACAATAACAAACTAAAAAGGAAAAGACATATAACCATCTCGTTGAAGCAAAAAGGCACTAGCAAAATCCCAATTCATTCATGATTTAAAAAAACAAAACAAACTCTCCCTGGCCAGTTTGGTTTAATGGTTAGAGCATTGGCCTGTGGACCAGAGTCCCAGGTTCTATTCTGGCCAAGGGCATGTACCTCGGTTGCGATTCGTCCCCAGCTATGCTTGGGGTCTTGTGGGCATCAACCAATCAATGTGTCTCTCTCACATTGATGTTTCTCTCTCTCTCTCTCTCTTTTAAATTTTTTCCCTGTATTGATTTTAGAGAGAGAGGAGAGGGAGAAAGAGCTAGAAACATGGATGAGAGAGAACATCGATCGGCGGCCTCCTGCATGCCCCCCACTGGGGATTTGGCCCACAGTCTGGGCATATGTCCTGACTGGGAATCGAACTGGCGACCTCTTGGTGCATGGGTCGACACGCAACCACTGAGCCACACCAGCTGGACTCTCTCTTTCTCGCTCTCTCCCACTCTGTCTGAAGATAAATATAAAAATATCCTTGGGTGAGGATTAAAAATTTTTTTTAAATAAAAATAAAACAACAAACAAACAAACTCAGTAAACTAGAAATGAAAGGGAAATTCCTCAGACTAATAAAGGGCATCTATAAAGACCTACACCTAACTCTTACAGCAAAACAACAAAAAGAAAAGCCAATTGCAAAATGGGCAGGAGGACTTCAATAGGCATTTCTCCAAAGAAGAAATGCGAAGGGCCAACAAGCACATGTAAAGATGCTAAGTAGCATTCATTAGGAAATGCAAATCAGTACCACAGTGAAGTACCATTGTATACTCAGTAAGGTGGCTAAAGTAGTAATAATAATAACTCAGAAAATAGCAAGTGTTGTGGAGGATGTAGAGAAATTGGAACCCTCATACATTGCTGATGGGAAGGTAAAGTGATGCAACCTCTGTGGAAAAGTTAGGTGGTTCTTCCATAAATTAAATGTTGAATTACCAGATGACCCATCAGTTCTGCTCCCCAAAGAATTGAAAGCAGGTGCTCAAACAAAAATTTGTAAACGAATATTTATAACAACACTATTCACAATAGTGAAAAGGTAGAAACAACCCAAATGCCCATCAGTTGATGAATGGATAAAAAAAAATGTGGTCTAGCCACACAGTGAAATATTATCCTGCCATAAAAAGGAATGAAGGATTAATACATGCTGCAAAATGGATGAACTTTGAAAACATTTTGCTGTAAAGATTATAGCCAGTCACAGAAGACAACGTAGGATTCTGTTTAGGTAAAATGTCCAGAATAGGATGTATAGAGACAAAAAATAGATTTGGGCTGGGGCTGGGTGTTGGTAGGATATGGGGAATGACTGCTAATAGGTGTGGGGTTTCTCTTTTTCCAAAGTTAAATGACTGTACATATACTAAAAACCATCAAATTATATACTTTATTATTTTTATTTAAATGTTTTTGTTTTTTTTTAGAGAGAGAGAGAGAGAGGAAAGGAGAGAGAGAAACATCAGTGTGAGAGAGAAACATTGATCAGCTGCCTCCTGCATGTCCCACACTGGGGATCGAGTCCACAACCTGTGCATGTGCTCTGACCAGGAATCGAACCGGACCTCTCAGTCCATGGGACGATGCTCAATCCACTGAGCCACACTGGCTGGGCATCAAATTATACACTTTAAATTGGTGAAATATATGGTACATGAATCATATTTCAATAAAGATGTTATAAATAATAGAGAAGTGCATGCACACACACACACACACACACCCCAAGGAGGCACTTTCTATGGAAGGTCTTAAGTGGAGTAGGTCTCACCATAAGTTTAGATAGGTGAAGCTAGATGTAATGAGGAGAGCTAACAAAGAGCCCCCCAGAGTTTGGAGCATAGTTATGACCCAGTTTTACAGGAGAAACCAAACTACACAGAAATTTAAGGTCATATAGCTAGTATAGGATGGAAGCCAGAGTCCAACCTAGAAACTAGATAGCAGAGCTTGTGTGCCTGCTCTAAGCTAAAGGCAGGATGGAGAACATCCATTGCTGAGAATCTGAGTGAGATTGCTCTCTCTTCTAAGCACCAACTCCACAGTGCTCATTGAGAAGCACTCATCACTGGCCCTGGCCAGTTTGGCTCAGCGGTTGGAGTGTCTGCCTGCGGACCAGAGAGTCCCAGCTTGGGTTCCCGCTAGGCCCTAGCAGCTAGGGGCACATACCAAAAAAAAAAAAAAAAGGAAAGGAAAGCACTCATCACTTGAGTGCCTACCATCTGTTTAATAGACATTGTGTAAGTCTTGGTTTCAGCAATTTCTAGAGTGAAATTCAGGACAAAGCACCCTTTGAAGGTATTCAGCGTGCAGCTTCTCTCCTTCAGGGGAGTGATGTCTGCCTGCCGACAGGACTACTCAGCTAAGAACGGTAAGATAGAAGGCTCTGTGACAATGCCTCAACTTCAGAGCAGCTTGTGCAAACGCAGAAAAACATCCATATATAAGCTCTGTTGAATGTTCATGACTATCAGGGACAACACTAATTCATCAGGATACATTTAACATAGCAGACTTCTCTCTCACAAGACATTTCTTTGCTTTAAGTATAGGGTTTTGTTTGTTTGTTGAGCACTCATTTTTATCTGATCAAATGAATACCAGGACCAAAATCTCTGTCTGCATTTTAGACTATTTCTGTGAGCTAGATTTCCACATGTGAAATAATCCCTAATCAAAGGGTGTGAATATTTATTTATTTTATTTTTTTAAATCCTCACCCGAGGACATTTTTGCATTCATCCTCGGATAGAGCGGGAGGGAGGGAGGGAAGACAGAGAGAGAGAAACATCGACATGAGAGACACATTGAGTGGTTGCCACCCACATGACCCCAACCAAGGCGGGGACAAACTGCAACCAAGGCACTTGCCCCTAGCAGGAACCGAACCTGGGTCTCTCTGGACCGCAGGCCAATGCTCTAACTGCTGAGCCAAACTGGCCAGGGCCATTTTTAAAGGTTCTTGAACCTCACTGCCAAATTGCTTTGTGAAAAGATTGAACCAATTTACACTCCCACCAGCAGTGTATGAAAATATATGTAAATGTCCTGGCCGGTTTGGCTCAGCAGTTAGAGCATTGGCCTGCGGTCCAGAGACCTGGGTTCGGTTCCTGCTAAGGGCAGGTACCTTGGTTGCGATTCATCCCTGGCCCTGGTTGGGTCTTGCGGGGGCGGTCACTTGATGTGTCCCTTTCACGTGGATGTTTCTCTCTCCATCCCACTCTATCTGAACAAAAAATGGAAGGGTGTCCTCAAGTGAGGATAAAAAAAGAAAAAGAAAATATATGTAAATGCAAATTCCAAACTGCAGAGAGGCTCCTTCTTGGGTATTTCACTTAAAAATGTTTTTAATGCCAAGCAAAAACTGACCCAGGATGTTAAAAAGAGAAAGTCTGATATAAAAATGGGAACAGATAGTTAAAACAGCTCTTAGGCACAAATAAACTTTAGAAAGGCCCAAGCGGGATGATAAAAAACTTTAAGGCATCCCCACACGAAGCACAATTCTGTCGGGACCATGAACAATTTGGCTTAGATTGGGATAGCCGCCGCCAAGAATGTCGGGCGTGGTCAGTATACCAAATTCTAGTTTAGAAAAAGCAGGGCATTCTATTTACTTGTACTTCAGGTTGTTCCAAAGACGATTTAAGATACCTAAAGGTAGGAGAAGTAGCATTGTGTCTGAGTATCAATCCAATGAAACTGAAACAAACCTACCCCCTTGAACTACTGTCAAGTCTTATCTCTTCCTACCCGGGGTGCCTCGCCTCTGTCATCTGAGTGCAGTTTGCAATCGCAGTGACGCCTCTACTTCTAATAATGGGGCACAGTGATTTTAGGGGTCACGACGGTGGGGGAGGCAAAGGGAAGCCCTCACTCCGGGTACACAAATCCCTAAGGTGCTGGGACCTCAACGTTCCGCCAGGATCCCCTCTGCCAGTTGCTGGGGAACCCGCCCGGTCCTTGCCTGCGAGTCTTGCAGTACTTCTGTGCACCCCTCCCACCGGCTCCCACCAGGAAAAGCTGACTTCGAGGGGGAGCCAGGAACTCGATCGCGTCCCTTTCCACTTCTCTCTCACTTGGATCCTCCCTTCGCTCCCTCTCCCTTCTTCCCTGTCCTTTTTTCTTTGCGTCTTCCCTTCTCCCTCCTCTTCTCCTTCCCTTGCCTCTTCTCCCGGACCGATTCTCCCCCTTCGCCTCCTTTCCTTGGGTTCGGGGCTCCCCACCTCTCCCCTGCGCTCCCCTCCTTTCCTCCTTCTCTGGTCCCTCCGCTCGCGGCCCCGCTCTCAGCCAATCAGCGCGCGGCGTCCCGCGGCCCCGCCCCCTGGCGGCTCCGGGCGGGCCCGGCCGAGCCCAGGCCGCGGGTGCGGAGGGCGGCGCCGCGAGGAGGGGGCCGATGGGGCCTGGCGGGCGGCCGGCGCGGGCGCGGGGGTCGCTGGGACGCCAGGGTCCGGGGCTGTGAGGGGGCGAGGCGGGCGCTGCGGCCCGCCCGGCATGGGCCAGCCCCGGCCTGGCGGGGCCGAGCCGGAGGGGAGAGCGGCGTGCGGGCCAGGCCTGCGGGGCGGGCGGCCCGGGGGCTGAGGTAGAAGTGGGCGCGGAGGAAGGGGCCGAGCCAAGGCGGTGGGTGGAGCGGCGAGGGGGCGGAGGCTGGGCCGCGGCGGGCGAGCGGAGCGGAGCGGAGCGGCGCGGCTGTCCGGAGCTCGGCGGCGCCGGTGGAGGCTGAGGCGGCGGCGGGCCCTGACGAGCGCCCGGAGGTGGCGGACGAGGCGCCGGGGGCCCCCATGGGCGGGTGTGTGGGCGCCCAGCACGACTCCTCGGGCAGCCTCAACGAGAACTCGGAGGGCACCGGAGGTAGGTGAGCGCCAGGGGGCAGCCTCGGCCCCCCATTGTTCCCGGCCGGGCCTGGCCACCTGTCCGGGCCCCTGCGGGCCCGCGGGGAGCGCGGCCGGGGGTCCCGCGCCCCTTTGTCATCCCCTCCTCCACGTCACCCCGCGCCCGCTTCCGGCCGCCCCGCCGGCCGCGGGCTCGCCCCCTTCTCCCCGGCCCCCGAGAAAAGTCCTCCGCGCGCGGGGCACGGAGCCCGCGGCCTCCCGACCCGCGCGCCTCGGCCGGGGAGACGGCCCCGAAGCTGCCCGCCTGGCCCCTGTCTCCCTCCAGCCCGTTCAATTATTCAGGACCCGGATGGCGGCGCGGGGCCGCCGCGGCCGCGGGGGCGGGGAGCGAGCCGGCGCTCCCTCCGACGGGCCCCGCCGCGGCTCCGCACCCTTCCCTGCTCGGCGGAGTTGGCTGGTCTCAGCTTTCCCGAGTTTCAGGTGACAGCTGCCCTGGTTGGTTCCAGTTCGGCCATTTAAACCCGCGAGTTGCTGGGTTGGGGAAGGCTCAAGTGGCCGCAGGCATTATTTTCGCGAGGGGTGGGGACTGCCCGAGTCCGACGTGGCTCCGCGCTGCAGCCTGGGGGTGCCGGCCGGCCTGCCTCCGGGGTGGGCTCGCCGAATTCCGATCCGGCTACGTAAAGGAAAATCCGGGGGATCAAAGCACGACTACAGCAGTGTCCGATTTCCCAGGAGGATCGGTACCTTGAAAGTTTTCTTCCAGGGAACGCACTTCTGCTTCATTGTATCGCGCCTCGTTTGCCGAGGAAGGTATTTTAATCCGGCCGGTCTTGCAGTGTAGCAGTGTCATCAAGACAACTAATTCCGCCCTGGCTCCATGGCCTTTCCCCGGATTCGTTCTGTGGCTTGTGTGCAGGTCGGAATGTCTCGGTGAAAGAAGAAACCGCGTTAGGAAGAACGAAGATGACAGTGCGGGTTTTGTGCACCCTTGTGTTAGAGGTCTCTGTGGGGCGGTATCTGTAAGTTCCTAAACTCGGGAGTTTGGGGATGAAAGAGTGTACACGTTTTTCTCACACCAGAAGTTAGTTGCTGCTGGCCCTGTCACTGAAGCGCCGTCCGTGAACCATGCACACCTAACGTTTGGTTAATGGATTTCCTGAATTACGTGATGTTTAGCCCTGACACGCCATGAAAATCTGTGGGTATCCTGAGTGATGACTAAGTCTTGGGCAAATAGCTTGAAAGCTCAGTGGAGTGTTGCTTGAAAAAAATCGTCCAGGAAAAGTCTATAGTGCATTTCAAGTCATGCCATTCTTACTTGGTGGCATATTAGCAAGATCCTCAGTGACAACAAAGCAGGAAGAGAAAAAGGGCATGATTTAAAACAGTCTTGGGTTAAGGTCAAATTGGGGGTCACAGTGATTTTTCCTGCCACTGAGGTGATTGTAATGGTACCCAAGTATGTTAGTATTAGTTATAGGTGCTGTTTAGTTTTAAATTGTTTCACACTCATTTTGAAATTCTAATAAACTTTTTTTTCCCCTTCTTGGTATGAACTTGAACCAGTTTACTTAATTAAGCCTTTTGGTAGTGTGACATGAGTAGCCAGGCATTGTGTGGGCTTTAAAAAGCATGAAGCCTTGTCTTAGCTTTTGGTAATTTATTACCAGTGGTATCTAGTTAGATAGCTCTAGTGTCAGTTTCTTTGAGAACTAAGTTCTCTGGACTTTAAGCTGTGCTATACCATTCCAAATTCAAGTTTAGAACAAAGGAACATAAACCTCTTATTTTCTTCTTTATGTCACTGGGGTGGAGAAAGGAGCTGTGTAGGAATAAAAAGATTATTCCTGGAATTTAATTATGGAAGTCTTTATTCTCCTTTATTGTCATGGTAGTTAAGAGTTAATTGGGCCCTGGCTGGTTTGGCTCAGCGGTAGAGTGTTGGCCTGTGGTTCAGGAGGCCTGGGTTCGGTTCCGGCTAAGGGCATGTACCTCGGTTGCAGTTTGTCCCTGGCCCTGGTTGGGTCGTGCGGGTGACAGCCACTCGATGTGTCCCTTTCACATCGATGTTTCTCTCTCTCTCTCTCTCTCTCTCTCTCTCTCCCTTCCCACTCTGTCTGAACAAAAAATGGAAAAATGTCCTTGGGTGAGGATAAAAAAAAGATTTAATTGTGGTTTAAAGGAATTAGCTCAGGTGAGTGTTTCAGTTTAGTAAGGTTAAATTTTTTTTAAATGTGTTTTTATTGATTTTTTTAGAGAGAGAAGCATCAATGTGAGAGTGAAACATTGATTGGCTGCCTCCTGCACGCCCCCTACTGGGGATTGAGCCCACAACCCCCAGCATGTGCCCTGACCAGGAATCCAACCAGGACTTCTCAGTCCATGGGATGATGCTCATTCCACCGAGCCACACTGGCCAGGTTCAGGTTAGTAAATTTAATAGCCCTTGCTTATTACAGTAGGTTTTTGTTGGGATGGGAAAGACTTTTTCCTAAGGGGGTTGTTGGCACAGATTCTTCAAATTTCAAACATACAGTAGTGGTTAGTAGTTGTAATCTGGACATATTGGGTTATGAAAATTTCTTTTATCAACGTGGAGTGAAATACAATCTTCTGATGCTTTTCATGACAGATTTAAGATTTTCAGGACAGATATAATTACATTCACATTGTCATGCAAATATCATAGAATGGCAAATCATTGTGTGCATACCGAGAAAAACTTCCTTACTAGGTGGATTACTTGTTTGAAGGAATTTGAGAAATTTTTGCAGAAGACTGGAGGATGTGGAAATGACTTAATTCACGTAAGATATGTGCTATCTGGAATCATTTATAGTATCTTCCTCTGGCATACCTTGCCTAGAATTCAGTTATTGAGTTTTAGCTACTTTGACCATCTTTTAATGCCTAATTTTAATCAAGATGGTATATTATAGTAGATTTTTTAACAGTTCTCCCAAGCTTTCATGCTCCTAGGATTTTCTGTTTTGACATTTTGGACGGCATGTTCTGGATGGGTCTCTGCCTTATGATGATGACATTCTGATGCAGGGGTTGGCACTTAGGACCTCTAGACGATGTTTTAGCCCATGGCATTTGCTAAGGGATTAAATCTCTTATGATTTTTAAAAATAAGAAATATGTGGGGAAAAATAGTAAAATGAAATTAATTGAAGACAGCCAACTAGCTTCTTATTTTGTTCTCTTTAATGACCATAGTGATGTACAAAGATTATCATTTTCTGGGTGTGTCATTTATTCCATACATTGTGATATTCCAAGAGGACTGATCCTGGTGGTTTACAGGATCCAGGTTTACAGGAGGATAACTTAATACTGGGCATTTATTTCTTTATTTTAAAATGTCTTTAGGATATCATGGAGTTCTGTTGAATTTTTCTTTATTGATTTTAGAGAGAGAGGAAGGGAGGAGAGAGAGATAGAAATATTGATGAGAGAGAACTTTGATTGGCTACCTCCTGTGTGCCCCCTGCTGGAGATTTGTCCCACAACCTGAGCATGTGCCCGGACCAGGAATTAGACCAGAAATTGAACCAGTGACCTCTTGGTACATGGGTCGACACTCAAACACTGAGCCACACTGGCTGGGCATCATGGAGTTCTTTTGGAGATCCATTTATAAGCAGCCTTACTGACACCTACTTGATGAGTAATGGTGGTTTTTTAATAATAACAGCTATCATTTATCCAGTGTTTATTATATAACAGGTACTGTGCTAAGTGATTACCTTCTCTTATTTAGTCTTCACCAATTCCAAGAGGTGGGTAATATCTCTATTTTAGAGATGGGTGAAAACCAGGAGAAATTAAATAACTTGCATAACATGGCATATTGGATAAATGGCAGAACTTGAACTTGAACTCAGGGCTATATACAGAATGCTAGTTTCACTCTAGTGGGTTTGGCTCAGCGGTTAGAGTGTTGGCCTGTGGGATCATAGAGTCATGGGTTTGATGCCGGTCAAGGGCATGTACCTTGTTTGCAGTTCGTCCCCAGCCCTGGTTGGGGTTGTGCAGGAGGCAAAAAATATCCTCAGGTGAGGATTAAAAAAAAAGAATACTACTTTCTTTTTTTCTACTTTAATTCTTTAATTATAGTAAAATACATTTAAAATTTGCCATATTAAACCCTTATTAGAGATATGATTTGTGGCCTTGGCCGGTTTGGCTCAGCAGCTTGAGTGTTGGCCTGCGGTCCACAGAGACCCGGGTTCGATTCCCGCTAAGGGCATGTACCTGGGCTGCAGTTTGTCCCCGGCCCTGGCTGGGTTGTGCAGGTGGCGGCCACTCGATGTGTCCCTTTCACGTCGATGTTTCTCTCTCTCTCTCCCTCCTGTTCTGTCTGAATAAAAAATGGGAAAATGTCCTCAGGTGAGGATTAAAAAAAAAAAAGAAGAAATATGATTTTATGATTTGTGGATATTCTGTGTTGTAGGTTGTCTTTTCATTTTCTTGATGATGTCCTTTGATGCACAAAAGTTTTTAATTTTAATGAAGTCTATTTTATTTTTTCTTTTGTTATCTGTGCTTCTAACTTTAGTTTCATTTATCTTATTTATTTATTTATCCTCACCCGAGGACATTTTTCCATTCTTTGTTCAGATAGAGCGGGAGAGAGAGAGAGAAACATCGACGTGAAAGGGACACATTGAGTCGTCACCACCTGCACGACCCAACCAGGGCCGGGGACAAACTGCAACCGAGGTACATGCCCTTAGCGGGAACCGAACCCGGGTCTCTCTGGACCACAGGCCGATGTTCTAACTGCTGAGCCAAACCGGCTAGGGCCTAATTTCAGTTTTAAATATATACATATATTTAACTAATTCTTTACTGACAGAGAAAGAATAAATCTATAATTAATAATTTATAAATCTTTTAAATAACAGTTGCTGTCTTAACTATGAGTAGAAAGTTGTTTTAAGTTTATTTCCTATGTCTAATCTGGTAAAAAGGTTGATTAGCATTGAAATGGTTTTTAAAAAGTTGACAAAG